GGCTGTGTTATTTTGTGGAATATATGAAAGCGACATGGTGTATCTGAGAATATTAATGATGTAGAATGATCGCCTGAATCTGATTTCCGTTTGCAGACATTTAAGAGTTTTTAAGGTTCATCTCAGTCCTTCTGGGGAGCACGGTAAAGTTTGTACACTATATGGCCAAAGGTTTGTGGATACTTGACCATCCCGTTCTGGATTTAGTCCCTCTTTGCTGTTATATTAAGCTCTTGTCTTCTAGGAAGGCTTTCCTGTAGATTTGGAGCTGTTGCGGTTTGTACTCAGCTACAGGAGCATCAGGCTGATGTTAGTTCCAGTTCATCCCCAAGGTGTTCAGTGGGGTTGAGGTAAGGGCTCTGTGCAGGCCACTCGTGTTCTTCTGCATCAAACCTTGGAAAACCATGCCTTCATGGAGCTGGATTTGTGCACAGGAGCATTGTCATGCTGGAACAGGTTTGGGCCTCTAAGTTCCAGTGAAGGGAAACGAAAAAGCTACAGCATACCAAGACTTCTATACAATTGTATGCTTCCAAGTTTGGGGAAGAACCTCATATGGGTGTGGTGGTCAGGTTTCCACATACATTGGCTGTATAAAGTACTGCATGTTTAAGTCTAGAGTGTTTCCCTGTCAGCACAGAGAACATCTTGGGGCATCATATGAGTGATGTCCTAAGAGTCCCAGATTCTGTGTGTTTCAGTTTCAGATGTTCTCCCCATAGTTTTCTACTAGGGGTTCTCCGGTTTCCTCTCAGTACTCAAAAACATGGAAGGATTGGAGACTCTAGGTTGGCCCTAGGTGTGAATGAGTGTGTGAACGAGTATGTGCATGGTGCCCCACGATGGACTCGTCCCGTTCAGGGTGTATTTCTAGATTACAGCTAGTATTCCCACGATCCACCATGTCCCAGACCAGGATAAAGTTCTTACTAAAGATGAATTAATCAAATGAATCGTGACAAAAATGTATAAATGCTAACTCCGCTCCTAATGTCTAACCTTAAACTTTAGTGCGGCTGTGGCTCAGGTGGTAGAGCAGGTTGTCCATTAAGCATAGGGTTGGCGGTTCGATTCCCTTGGGCAAGACACTGAACCCAAAGTTGCTCCCGATGGCAAGTTAGCACCTTGCATGGCAGCTCTGCTACCATTGGTGTGTGATAAAGATAATGATAACGAGTCTTTATTGATCACATATACGTGTGCAGAGTGAAATTCTTTTCTTCGCATATCCCAGCATTTTAGGAGGCTCGGGTCAGGGCGCAGGGTCAGCCATGTTATAACGCCCCTGGAGCAGGGAGGGTTTAGGGCCTTGCTCAAGGGCCCAACAGTAGCAGCTTGGTAGTGTTGGGGCTTGAACCCTCATAATCAGTAACCCAGAGCCTTAACCACTAAGCCTCCAATGCGCTATATAAAGTGTAGCTCTATATAAGTGTAGACCGTTTACCATACTCAGCAAATTGTTACAAACTTGCCATTATGGGACTTTGTTGAACTTGCTGCATTTCTTTATTTTCACTTTTGCTGATTATTATTGGTGATGTTCTTCACGTTGACTTCAGCTTCTGGAGAAAGATATGACACGGGGGCGGGGTTACAGGGCGGAGTTAACTTTTCTCTTAACTTTTAAAGTAATGTATGCTGCGTTTGACTTAAGGTCGTAACTCGCAATTTCTGACCTCTGACCAGGATCAAAACTAAACTAAACAAAAGAACCTCACCTCAGCTTTTAATTCCTACTTGGGACGGGAACTTGGGACGGTCTCCTCAACCCTGAGTTCGGCAAGTGACATCAAATCAACATGACCGCTCACAGTACGACCGGTGAATAAAGTAGCACTTCTCCAATCATCTATTACACTGGCTAATCAGTTCACTGTTTTGAGGAAGTAACTGTACTCTGCATCACTCCGAACAGTTAGCTGGCTAGATTGGTGCTAGCGTATGATAAACACGAAGGCGTCCATGGACCACGGAAAATGACGTAGTTCCATCTTCCGTGGTCAGCAATAAAAAGGTTCATAAAATGAATGTTTTTCTAAAACGTTTTTGTAGTTGACTTTGGGATTATTACCAAGATGTTTGAAGTTTCACTCTTTAGGGGTGCGAATGTTCATACATTACATTGAATACAAGCAGTTTAGTCGCTTTCAGTCTCTCCATCTTGAAGTTTTATTTCTCTTAAATCGTCGATAAATAACTGAAGAGATGAAAACAGTTCTTGGTGAATAGTGTGATGTCGGAAAACGCACCATGCGATGGACCAGAGCAAATCTCCTTCCCTTTCTCTCGCTGTCTGTCTCCGACATCATCACATTCCTCGTCATCCTCAGAGCACAAGAGAGAGAGGTTTTTTTTGTTTTTTTTTCTCTCCCGCTGCTCCTCTGCCTCGGGGACACACTCGCCTCGTTTAACATTGAGAGTTTGGCCCCAGTCAGATGGAGAGCGAGCGAAAGGGGGCCAGTGCATAGGCATGTGCGTGTGCGCGCGCACACACACACACACACACACAAGCAATTCAATCATTACACTTGCACATCCCCTTTCACCTTGCCCAGGCTGTGCAGATATGACTCAATTAAGCGTGTTTGGTTAGCCTACAATGTTCAGTGTGTGTGTGTGTGTGTGTGTGTATATATATATATAATATATATATATATGTATATATATATATATATATATATATATATATATATATATATATATATATATATATATATATATATATATATATATATATAATATGTATATATATATATATTTTTTTTTTTATTATATTTATATTATGTATGTGTATATATGTGTGTGTAATTGTTACTGCACATATGTGTGTGTTTATCAACCATTTTTATCATCCCGCATCTTTGCATGTAATGAATATGGATATTGCGTCCTAGGCTGATTTAGCTCACGGCTTCACCTGCCTAAACACACACACACACACACACACACACACACTGTTTCATCCACAGTGATGAATAAACGCTACAGTGATTCCATAGTAATGTATTAGGGTTACATTGAACAGCACGAGAGATTTCTCCATCCAACATTTCCATAAATGTTATTAGCACACGTTATTTAAAAAAATAAATAATCGTGTATTTAATAAATTCTTCTCGAGTAATTACGAGGTTTTGTCACACTCTTTTAAGATTTTAAGCAAAAGAACCTGAAATCACATCAGGAAATGTGTCTTATCACTGAACATGATACAGGAGTCAGGAGCTATTGCATCATAAAAGAATGGAGCCAATCAGGTGGCAGTATGCAAATGAGGGACATGCAGATCTGGTCTACCAGGTGTGTGTGGGGTTGGTGAGAATGTTAGTTTATTTCCACAGTGATGTACTATGAACATTTTTGGTTGAAACCCAAAGTGAAATTCAGTAAGGCACTCTGTAAAAAGAATTACATAATAATAATAATAATAATAATAATAAAGAAAAAAACACGGTTTAAAAATAATTTTTTAAAAATCAATAAATTGAGGACCAAAACAACAACAAAAATATAAGCTGTCAAAGTTCTTCTTTTTCTTTGTCTTCTTCTACTTCTACTTCTAATTCTTTCCTTCTTCTTCTTCCTCTTCTTCTTCTTAATTGGACATTGGCATTAGGGCCGGGTGATATATCGCTATAATATCAATATCGTGATAAATGATTATGCAATACACCTTCGAGATGTCATTGGTATGACGATGTATTTTTACGATTTTAATAATTACAAATCAAATGCTACTGAACAGATGCCGTTGATTTGATGTAATTTATTATTATTATTTTTACCTTAATGTTTGTGTTTGTAGGCATTAAAGAAAAGTATCGTCAAACCCAGTTTAAGATTTTTTATTTATTTATTTTAATACTGTCTTGCAAACAGTTTGTGAGCCAAATTCTATATCGTGACGCACATTGTGTATCTCAGAAACGTCCTGATGTGATATTTTTGTCATATCTCCCAGCCCTAACTGGCATACGCTGCAAACATTTATTCCGCTTTAAAGTCTTTTTTAAAAAATTCTGTTTTTCAGTTACTGTTTTCCAACACTTTCACTCTTTCATCCAAAAAAAGTGAACGCGGGATTTTAAGGCGAAAGCACCGTGATGAAAAACAAAACGGCCAAAACGTCTTCGCATGGAAACATTATTGTGTCTTATTACTACGTTAAAAAAAAAGAATAAAAAAAATCCCGCAAAACATTTCAAAGCTATTTTTTGCTCTCTTATTCTCAAATCGATATGAAAGCGAGACGAAACGAAACCCCGACACAGAGAAGCACTCGCCGTGAGTGAAGTTGAGCTCTTTACGGATTTCCGAACAAATCCGAGAACGTTTCAGAGATCATCCTGGTGATGACGTTGTGAAACGTTGTGAAAAAGCATGAAACCACAGGTGCTGCAGGAGGATTAAACAACAAGCCTCTCAGCTTGATTCGTACATAAGACTGCATCTTAACACCAGGCTGGAAAATTCCACGTGACAAAGCAAGTAAATAAACCAGTGTTTTTTTTTATGACGGAAGGTTAGGAGAGCTGTTCACGCTTCACAACCGGGCTTTAGGAAGGACATGCTAGGTCATTTCACCGACACTACACATGTCTGGATAAATAAGGAATGTGCTGGTATCTTTCAGGGTTTTTATTTTTTTCTTCTTCGATTCATGGCATATCACAATGATTAAAATTTTTTTTAGGTGTATTCAACACTCATGGATACTTTTTTTTTTTATCCGTCTATAGCTACAATGTGTTGAACGTCGCGTCGTGGAACGTTCACGGAGTTAGCAATTAACCTTAAACCGTCGTTCCGTCACCAGCCTCTTTCTTTTTCCTCTCTCTCTCTCTCTCTGTCGAAGTGAATCAGACAAAAAACAATTAATGAGAAATTGCAAATACCTTTCTTTGTCCAATCACAGTTTTTCAGCTTTACCTCCCTGACACTGGAGACTCCATCCAGAAAATGTGAAATTTTCACCGTATCAAACTCGTTAATCAGTCTGTACAGTCCTGGCTTAGTGGTTAGCACGTTCGCCTCACACCTCCAGGGTCCGGGGTTCGATTCCCCGGTTTCCTCCCGGTTTCCTCCCTCAGTCCAAAGACCTGCACGGACATGCACCCCAGTCCAAAGACATGCACTAAATTGTCCATAGTTTATGAATGGGTTTGTGAGTGTGTATGTGATTGTCCAGGGTGGCTCCAGGTTCCCCCGCGACCCTGAAGATGGGGGTAAGCGGTAGAAGATGGATGGATGGAGGGATGGATGGAAAATGTGGCCGATATTAGCGAAAATACAGCTGCAGGAAAATTTTGCAGTGGTGTTTGTTGGTAAATGCGACCTTTTTAGCCGTACTCACGTTCAAGGCAGGTGATTCGGAGAGGGATCTGGCTGAATTTGTGAAGATCATGGCCCAAACCTGCGGTAATTTTGAAAAATTGCACGCTCCTCTGAAAACTGCGGCGTTTGCTTGATATTTGCGCTCATTTCCGTTTAATGTAAACTCATGATTGGGGAATAGCGGATTAGTGGTTAGCAGGTCTGCCTCACACACCCGGGGTTGGGGGTTCGAATCCTTCCTCCGTCATGTGTGCACGGAGTTTGAGTGCTCTACCCGTGCTTCGAGGGTTTAATCCGGGCACACTGGTTTCCTCCCACAGTCCAAAGACGTGCACTGTAGGCTAATTGGCATCTCTAAATTGTCCGTAACGATTATTCCTTGTGATGGGTTAGCACCCCGTCCAGGATGTCCCCCGCCTTGTGCCCCGATTTCACTTGGCTCCAGGCTCCCTGCGACCCCGTGTAGTATAAGCGGTATGGAACATGGATGGATGGATTTGCACTATGGTCATGCGTAGATCATTTCAGCTCATTTCATACGATGTTATCCCAACAAGTGACTTTGGATCATTCGCTTCCTACATTTTATCCTTAAACAAACGTGTTTATTTAAATCCGAAGCTTTTTTCTGAGCGCACCGTGCCGAGTAGCGATGTTCATTACATCGTTATGCATCGTCAAGTACTTCACTGTATATCTGAAAAATGCTTAGATTGTTATTTACAAAGAATAACAAGCGCCGTCGGAATGATTTATGAATCATAGGAAGTGTTTTCCAGACCTGCAAGTTGTGCGAAGTGGGTTTTTTTTTTTTCTGTTTTGTTTTGTTTTGGGTTTTTTTTAACATCGTTCTAAGAAGTTCCTCAAGCCACGGGAAGAGCAGAACAACTGGGTCAGGTGATAAGAAGGAAGAGCTGCTAAAGCCTGGCGATAAAAAAAAAAATAAATAAAAAACGTTAAGGCCTGACTGATTGATGCTCAGTCCCCCCACCCCCACACACACACACACACACACACACACACACACACAGAGATGTTTGACAGTTCTTTCGGGATCTGATGATGCTTAGATTGAAGCAGAGAGGAAACGAAGCAAATAAGAAGGACACGAAGGTCACAGACGTCTATCTTCCTCGCTCGCTTTTCCTCTCGCCGTCACTCAGAGAGCAGACTTAGGCGACGCAGAGCGCCGAACAGGTTACAGCGCCAGCAGATGTTTTACAACATCAGCCATATTTCATTTCTCCTCGTCGCACGTGTCGGGAGGTTGTGTAAGTGTTTGGAACAAACAGTTTTGTGCGAGCTTTGAGAATGAGAATGATGTCCCTTCAGAATATTACTGGGCAAAATCAGGATGTAAGGTTGATACCATGATCAATTTTCAAATATCTCGATTTTTAATTTTAATTTTTTTTAAATAGTAAAGAAAAACTCTGATTGGAAGCATCTGATCCATCCATCCATCCATCTTCTACCGCTTACTCCTTTTCAGGGTCACGGGGAACCTGGAACCAATCCCAGGGAGCATCGGGCACAAGGTGGGGTACACCCTGGACAGGGTGCCAGTGGAAGCATCTGATTTTAATTAAAAATGTTGTACCTTTTTTTTTTAAACTGTAAAGTGGTTTTATTTTATTTTTCAAGATATGGCAAAAATCCAATACCAAGGATTAGTCTGATATTAGCTGTTAAAAATACAGGATAGATATTAGATTTTTTTTTTTAAGTTCGTTTTGATATCTGAGACAAAAAAAAAGAAAGAAAGAATGATTTTGATCTGAGCCTGTAACAAATTGAAAGGATTTAGAATGAGGTTTGGAAATATTGGAAAATGTTTATTTACATATAAATGGACATATAAATGTTTTTTTTTAATCGATTTTTGTTTAAAAATATTTAAAATTTGTTATTTATTATATTTCTTTTTTGTCTTTTTTTTTCTTTTTTTTTTTTTGCCTTTGTTTATTTATTCATTTTCATATGATTCATTTACATGTGATTCATTTACATATAATTCATTTATTATATTTCTGATGCAAGTGTATACAATTTCATCACCTTCAGCTGTTCATTTAAAAAAAAAAAACTCGCCGCATTTCCTTTACAATTACCTGCAGCAATTCAAATAGACGGGCAGTCTATAGACAGAAAACATTGACATAACAGATCGTACTTATAATAAACGACAGAATTTACACTGCAAGCGCACAAATACAACATATAATCACAATACAGTTGAATTGATCAACTCGCACCAGTTTCCCCCAAGCCTTTGCACAGTGGCACATTTTGGATATAAACATAAGTTTGTGCTCGTGCATCACTGTCGTGCTTCCGTCCTACACAAGCTCCGCTTTGTAAAGTTTGCAGGTTACGATCTTCTTTGTGACATTTAATATCAAATGGCGATTTCATCGACTAGTTGTTGCAGCTCTACATGACAGAAATGATGCAGAACGCTTCTTACGTTTTGACATTTATGCGCAGTAAGGGATGTAAGCATTTCCAGACGTTTCTGTGTGGACGATGAGTTTTTGGAAAATGTTTAAAAACGCCAGTGTAGATCGTAGGAGAGCGTATTAAAACGAATCCCCTGTTTTCAAATCTATCCCGATTAATGTGAATGTAGCCTTGGTTTGACCAATCAGATTCGAGCATTCAGCAGCACTGTGGTATACGTGAATTCATGTTATTTCCATTGTTATAAGTGTTGTTTATATGTTATTTACCACCAAACACGCACTGACATGACACAACCCCAAAGTCTGCTCTAATATTGATTGTACTGAAAATCCAGAAATGTACTCGGTAGAATTTCCATCCATCCATCTTCTACCGCTTATTCCTTCTTCAGGGTCACGGGGAACCTGTAGACTATCCCAGGAATCATCGGGCACAAGGCGGGGTACACCCTGGAAGGGGTGCAGGTCCATCACAGGGCACAATCACATACACGCTCACACACCCATTCATACACTACGGACACTTTAGACACGCCAATCAGCCTACCATGAATGTCTTTGGACTGGGGGAGGAAACAGGAGTACTCGGAGGAAATTCCCGGCGAACCCCGGACCCTGGAGGTGTGAGGCGAAAGTGCTAACCACTAAGCGACCGTGCGCCCCGGTAGAATTTCCCCTGAAGCTAATTTTGTCACACAATAAATTTCTTAAATGTTTTGCAATCATTCAGTTCAGAAAACCGTACAGTGCACGAAAAACACTTTATCGACACGCGGAACTTTGTTCTCATCCTTCGCCTTGAGTTGTCAATTTAAAAGATAGAATAAAAGAAGCAAATTATCGCTAGGCAGCAGCTCAGAAGTCCCTCTTTTCACTAAGTGGAACATATTAAATGGCCACTTCATCTGGTTTTTAGCACCTTCGAATCAAAATCTATTCAAAAGGCACCATTATCTCCGTGAAAGACAGTATCCAGCGTTGTTCTCTCAGACGTGAATTGGACTTTTTATCATTAAATGAAGGAAAAGAAAAAGCAACAAAACAAAACAACAACCTTCAGAAAGTTAGTCCATCAAAGAAAGTTCGATAGAGAACCGTTTGGAAGAGTGTGTTAAGGTGTTCGTCGTTACGGCTGCCGAGACCAACGATGACTTGCGCTCGTGAAAGCGACTTAGTGAATATACCGGAAATTAGGGACTTGTAGAACGGTGCACTTTTCCTCTGGATCATCTTCCCGAACGTACCCTCAGACAGTATGATTGCCGCTCTGTTTGGATATGAACACGTCTATCTTTGTTTAAAGTGGCGTTTCATCTCCACGTCTTATTCTCCGAGCTTATCAGACGCCTCGCTTTGCTCGCCGTTTTCTTTTGTGACCATTTTTATTTTATTTATTTTTTTAAATTCCGCCCATGTTTATACGCTTTAGGATTCTGTTTCTGAGATTGCGTCTCCGAATTGAGGTTCAAAGCCTCTTCGGTTCACTTATGAGATATGGTGTGACTGAGAGAATGGCCCTTTGTTCTTTGACAGTCTTTGAGAAGTAGAATTTTTATTTTATTTGATTGATTTCTTGATATAAAGTGTGCTAATCCAACTCCGACTCCGAGGAAAGAACACCAGAGGGATGTTGGTGTGTAAGCAATGGTGTATTCATGGAAATGTTGGGTTATTGACGGTCTGGGCGATGACACATTGGTTTATTCAAAAAAGGGTTGTTTTACAAACACGAAAAAAAAACCTACGAAAAACCTTTATGGAAAATAGCACGAATTGTCAGCGGTGCAGTAAATTGTATTGTAGTGTTGCGTAATGGTGCTTGTGCATTTTGGGAGCACGGAATTTGGCTGAAACATTGAAGAAAGGGATTACATTTGAAACAAATACTTCTAATTACATCTAACTTCTGCAATTTTACAATGTAAAACTCCAACGCAGAGCTTTATGTCCAAATGTATATAATATATTCGTTCTGAAACTAGTTCTGCCTGTAAGGTTAACCACTTTTCAAAACGGTCACATGATCATGTAACGAACGAAGAGTCATCGGTTACGAGTTTAAGGAAACACTAAAAAGGAAACTTAAAAACGAGGTATTAAAGCAGTCTCTTGAGGATTTAGCGATTTTTTTTTCAGTCATAGAAATGAAGGAAACTCCGCAATATTCAGAGGAGCTTGCGTTTTTTGTTTTTTTTAATTACCTCAGATTTGTGCAGACGACAACGAGCATTCGGCAGAAGACCTCTTCGATTCATGTGCGTCGAACATGAGGACAGA